CCCCTAAACTGAATATTCTCAGAGTGATGAATGAAAGATGAGCTCAAGTTGCCATGATTTTTCCCATAGTGTTAAATATACAATGTCTTCTCCCAACATTTCTGAAACTAATTTTATTCTTTTTCTGGGGAAGAATAAAACTGAAGAAAAGAGCAAACCAGAGGTTCAGCAGCTTTTGGCAGCTCCTGTGAGGTATACAGAGGCCCCAGGTTCCCAGCTGAGAGCAGGGTCTAATATCTGAAATGAAACAAAAGCATTTATTGACTGTTAGGCAGACAGACAGAGGAGCCTGGTGGACTACAGTCCATGGGGTTGCAAAGAGTTGGACACGACTAAGCACACACATGCACACAAGCAAACAGCATAAATTTCCTGATACTCCAAGACCAGTCCTAAATTCATCTTCATTAAAAGTTTGGTTATAGGGCTTTCCTGGTGGCTCAGAGCTATAGAATCTGCTTACCAATGCAGGAGACGCAAGGTTGATCCCTGGTCCAGGAAGATCCCACATGCTGTGGAGCAGCTAAGCCCATGCCCCACAGTTATTGGGTCTGTGCTCTAGAGCCTGGGAGCTGCAAATACTGAGCCCACACATCCTAACTTCTGAAGCCTGCATGCCCTAGAGCCCATACTCTGCAATAAAAGAAGCCATTCCAATAAAAAGCCTGTGCACTGAAACTGCAGAGTAGCCAGCTCACCACAAGTAGAGAAAGGCTCGAGCAGCAGCGAAGACCCAGCACAGCCAAAAATAAGCTTGTTTACAACATGGCAGGTGTCGAAGAGCACTCGGAACAGAGTGAGGAGAACCACCTGCTGGTCCTCTGTCATCCATTCGCCACGTGGCCATGAACCTAGGTAACAATATTTCTGAAGTTAAAAGAGAGGAAGAAATGGTCCCTAAGATTCCTTCTAGTGAAAAAATCCATTAAACTAGTTATAGTCTTTTCATTTTCCTTCCCCTTCCCGGCCTCCTGCTTCCTGAACTGAGCCTTCTATTCAGATATGTCTGAACCAGGAACAAATAAATATAACATTATACTGTAATTTAGAGCACATAAAGTCTGCTTTTGATTATAAAATCTGGATTTAGAATGAGAACTCCTGATAGCCTGTAGTGGTAGGAACAAAATGTATATGGAGTTAGGCATGGGGATAAAATTAAAGCCTCGTATCCCTCAGTATGAAGTCAACAGACAGTGCTTAATACGGAAAAGTGGAGAAGTAGCAATACACAGATGCTATTGAGAGATAAGGAAATAAATGTCAAAAGAACTGACCAAAGACTTAAAAGTGAATGAGTCTGGGAAAAAAGGGGGACTGCTATTCTTTATAACAACACTATTAAAATATCAATTCTTTGAAGTAAATACTTTAAACTTTGATAAAAACTAAAACTAAATAAATATATTCAATCAAAAAATAAAAACATTTAAGCTGTAGTGGGTATGTAGTTGATATGCAGGCAGACATTAATTAGATTAGTCGATATGAGGTAGGCCCATGTAAACACTGCAAGCCAGGATGAGAGTTTTAGTCTTTATTCTAAAATCTGTGGAAAACCCCCAAAATAACTTAAACAGCGATGCCACACGATCAGATTTGCTATTGAAAACAGCAATCCATAAGACTGAAATTCAGGAGAAGAGGGATCTAGACAGTTTACTGTAACTGTCACATCTAGAGGCAGAGCTTAATGGCTCTCAATAAATAACTGATGAATGAATGAAAGTCCATTTCCTTCTGCATGTCTGTTTTCTCATCTGTATTATGGGGAGACTAAACCTGCTTCTTACCTTGTCTGCCCTCTTTTTTATCTATTCCCAAGAACACTGGGAAGATAAATGATGAAATAAATATAAAATATTTGAGTAGCTTATGAAGCACTAGTCCTTAAGAGTGGTAGCAAAAAGATCCTGGTAGGCTGAGAAGTAAAACATCTGTAAATTACATTAAATACAAATATCTATGTCTGCTCTAGTTTATGATGGTAGAATTATCCTGAATGAAATAGGGAGGGACTGAGAGTCCACTTCAGAAAAACTGATTCCTGAAATTGTTTTTCCATTTGCATTTAAAGATGTTTAGACTAAAGTAAACATTTTCTTCTTGGGAGCACACTATAAATGCAACCTAGTCAATGGCAACCCACTCCAGTACTCTTGCCTGGAAAATTCCATGGATGGAGGAGCCTGGTAGGCTACAGTCCATGGGCTTGCAAAGAGTTGGACACGACTGAGCGATTTTACTTTCTTTCTTTCTATGGTTTCTTTTGGAGAAGGAAATGGCAACCCACTCCAGCGTTCTTGCCTGGGGAATCCCATGGATGGAGGGGCCTGGTTGGCTGCGGTCTATGGGGTTGCAAAGTCAGACACGACTAAGCAACTAACACACACAGTCAATATGTCAGGTTGTGTGTGTATGTGTGTGTGTGTGTATCTGGGTGTATACACACACATATGTATTGCACATTTATCATATGAGCATGCTTTCTAGAAAAATTTATGTGAGCCACAGGAGTTTGTCATAAGCAATAAAATCTTTTATGTGGATTCTTTCCTTCTTTCCAAGGGGATTTCTCTCTCTTCTTTTTTTTTCCCCCCACAACTCAGTTTCAGACTCAAGTGAGTCCCTGCTGCTATTTTTTCCCCAGTCACTCCTATCTTCCTTGCCTTTGCCAGAGCACGCTGAAGTGAAAGGCGGGCCATTCCTGGACTGGTATTTGCTGATTAAATGAGGACTTTTGGCATCATTGGCCTTTTGCAGCTTGGCAGGTCATGAAGAACTGGAGGAAACATTCCCATCCCATATTATTAGTGACAGAATTCAGGTGATTACAGAACACAGAAATTCATGGAAATATTAACACTCCCCTGAGAGATTACTGTTGAAAGGACAAACCATGAGGGATATTTGAAGTGTATGAAAGGCCTTCTTTGCCTCACTCCGTCTCTTACTGTCAGAGCTGGATACTTTCAGCCTAAAGTTTGCACTCTGCCTTTGTGGCACTGAAATAGTCTCACTTTACCTTGACATTGCCAGGCACCCAAGCACTGAACTTGAGATTCACCATAATAGCTCTAGACTCACTCCCCCTGCATCTGTCTTTCTGCCTCACTCATTCTATCTTACAAATATGAGAAAATCTTCTCATGTGTTAACTAAAAAATTAATTCCATCAGTCTTTCATTTGTTTGCAGAGAAATAGAAAAAGTGGAAGATTTATAAAGCGGAAAATACAAAACATTATTGAAAGAAATTAAAGGCCTAAATAAACAGGTCAATCCCATGTTCATGGATCAAAAGATTTAAGGTTGTTAAGAGAGCAATACTCCCCCAAACTGGTTTACAGATGTGACATATTCTATTAAAATCTCAGCTGCCTTTTTTTTTCCCCCAGAAATTAACAAGCTGTTCCTAAATTTATATGGAAATCAAGGGATCCAAAATAGCCAAAATAATCTTTAAAAAGAAAAAAAGTTAGAAGACTCATACGTCCTGATCTGAAGACTTCCTATAGATCTACAGTAATCATGACAGTGTGCTTTTGGCATAACGAAAGACATACTGATCAATGGAATAGAACTGATGGGAGAGAAATAAACTCTTATATTTATGTTAAAGAACAAGGGTGCCCAAACAATTCAATGTGTAAAGAATTATCTTCCACAAAGGGTGCTGAGACAACTAGATATTCACCTGGAATGAATGAAGTTGAACCCCTTACATTCAAGCATATACAGAATTAAGTGGAAATGGATTATAGACCTCAATGTAAGAGTTAAAACAATAAAAGAAAGCATAGGTGTAAGATTTCATGATTTGGATTACATGATCATTTTTTAGGATTGCCAAAGCACAAACATACACAAAAACATTGGATTTCATCAAAATTTAAAATTTTCATACTTCAAAGGATGCCATCAAGAAAGTAAAAGACAACTCAGAGGATTAGAGAAAATACTTGCAAATCATATATCTGCTAAGAGATTAGTATTCAGTGCCTGTAAACAATACATAATTCAAGGATAAAACATAAATAATCCAATAAAAATTAATTTGAATAGAAACTACTCTGGAAGAGATGTGCAAATGGGCAATAAGCTCATGAAAAGATGTCCAACATCATTAGTCATTAGATAAATGAAAATCAAAACCACAATGAGATACCATTTTGTATGCACTAGGATGGCTACAATCAAAAAGACAGATAATAGCAAGCATTGACTAGTAAGTGGAGAAAGTAGGAATACCATTTAGAGGCAAATATCTAGGAGAACTGAAAACATGTCAACACAAAAACTTATACACAAATGTTCATAGTGGCATTATAATAATAGACCAAAAGTAGAAGCTGCAAACATCTATCAGTTGATGAATGAATAAACAAAATGATGCATCCATACAGTGGATATACAAAGCAGTATAGCCATCAATCAGTTCAGTCGGTTCAGTTCAGTCGCTCAGTTGTGTCCGACTCTTTGAGACCCCATGAATCGCAGCACGCCAGGCCTCCCTGTCCATCACAAATTCCTGGAGTTTACTCAAACTCATGTCCATTGAGTCGGTGATGCCATCCAGCCATCTCATACTCTGTCATCCCCTTCTCCTCCTGCCCCTAATCCCTCCCAGCATCAGGGTCTTTTCCAACGAGTCAACTCTTCGCATGAGGTGGCCAAAGTATTGGAGTTTCAGCTTCAACATTAGTCCTTCCAGTGAACACCCAGGACTGATTTCCTTTAGGATGAACTGGTTGGATCTCCTTGCAGTCCAAGGGACTCTCAAGTGTCTTCTCCAACACCATAGTTCTGGATTATTCAGTCATAAATAACGAAGCATTGATACATGCTGTAATATGGATGGGCCTTGAAAACATACTCAGTGAAAAAAGTCAGATACAAAAGTCTACATATTATGTGACTTCACTTACCTGAAATGTCTAAAATAGCAAAATTCATAGAAATAGAAATTAATAGATAAGTAGTCTTCACCCAGGCACCACTATGCTGGGACTCATGGGTTATGTGGCTGCTACCTGGGCCTCAGGGTCCTTGTGGGGATTCAGCCCTTCAGCACTGCTACTACAAGTCCAGCTCTTTCTGAGGCTCACCTCAATAGTGCTCCAGGCTGTCAGAGACTATGCTGATCAAACACCTCCATTGCCAGGCATGTTCCACCACTGGGCACATGGTGGCTATCATTGGTGCAGTGGGAGATGTCCAGTTTGGTGAGGAGCTACCATCCATCCTAAATGCCCTGGAAGTGCGAGGCAGGGAAACCAAGCTGGTTTTGGAGAAGGCCCAGTCTTTTAGTGAGAGAACAATAAGGACCATTGCCATGGATGGTATGGAAAGCATGGTTAGAGGCCAGAATGTCCTGGATTCTGGTGCATCGATCAAAATTCCTGTTGGCCCTGAGACATCAGGTAGATTTTTGAATGTCACTGGAGAACCTTTGATGAGAGGGGTCCTATCAAAACCAAACAATTCATTGCTATTCGTGCTGACGCTCCTTAATTCATGGAGATGAATTTTGAGCAGGAAATTCTGGTTGCTGGTATTAAGATTGTGGATCTGCTGGCTCCTTATGTCAAGGGTGGCAAAATTGAGCACTTTGCTGGTGCTGGAATTGGGAAGACAGTACTGATCATAGAGTTAATCAACAATGTTGTTAAGCCTGTGGTGGGTATTCTGTGTTTGCTGGTGTTGGTGAGAGGATGCAAGAGGATAATGACTTATACCATGAAATGATTGAGTCTGGTGATTTCAACTTAAAAAATTCTACCTCTAAGGTAGCACTGATATATGATCAAATGAATGAACTGCCTGGTGCTCGAGTTTGGGCAACTCTGACTATGTTGACGTAGCTGAATACTTCAGAGACCAAGAAGGTCAAGATGTATTGTTGTTTATTGATAACATCTTTTGTTTCACCCAGGCTGGCTCAGAGGTATTGGCTTTATTGGGCGGAAGCCCTTCTGCAGTGGGTTATCAGCCTCCCCTTGCCACTGACATGTGTACCACACAGGAAAGAATAACCACCACCCAAAAGGGCTCTATCACACCTCTAAGGCTATCTATACGCCTGCTGATGACTTGACTGGCCCTGTCCCTGCTACTACTTTTGCCCATGTGGACATGCACCACTGTGCTGTCCCATGTTATTGCTGAGCTGGGCATCTATCCAGCTATGGATTCTCTGGACTCCACCTCTTGCATCATAGATCCCATTGTCGGCAATGAGCATTATGATGTTGCCTCTGGGGTGCAAAAGATCCTGTTGTTATTGCTGCTTAGTTGCTGAGTCATGACTGACTCTCTTGTGACCCCGAGGACTGTAGCGCTCTAGGCTCCCCTGTCCATGGGATTTCCCAGGCAAGAATACTGGAGTAGTTTGCTATTTCCTTCTCCAGGAGATCTCCCTGACCCAGGGATCAAACCTGCATCTCCCACATTGCAGGTGGATTCTTTACTTCTGAGTCACTGGGGAAACCCAATTATGATAATAGGTAGTATTTATTGAAACCTCAACATATTCCAGGTAGTGTGGCAAGCACTTTACATTATCCCCAACTGTTCCAATGATTCTCCTATGAATTGTTTCCATGCAAATGATCCTGTGTGTGTTAGTCATTCAGTTGTGTCCAACACTTTGCAACCCCATGAACCACAGCCTGCCAGGCTCCTCTGAACATGGAATTCTCCAGGCAAGAATACGGGAGTGGGCTACCATTTACAGGACTACAAATCCCTTCAGGACATCATTGCCATCTTGGGTATGGATGAACTTTCTGAAGAAAAGTTAACTGTGTCCTGTGCATTGAAAATACAGCTTTCCTTGTCTCAGTCATTCCAGGTGGTCGAGGTCTTTACCTGTCATATGCAGAAACTGGTACCTCAAAGGAGATCATCAAAGGATACCAGCAGATTTTGGCAGATGAACACAACCATCTCCCAGAATGGGCCTCTATATGGTGCGACCCATTGAAGAAGCTGTGGCCAAAGCTGATAAGTGCACGGAAGAGCACTAGTGAGGGTGTCCTTCCAGCGAGCAGAGCACTCATCCTCCAGGCTGTCCCTCACCTTGCCCCTAATCCAAAAACTGAAGTTTTCTCTGTGGCCACTTGAGAGGCTGTATTAAAGACATTGTATTTTGTCTGAAGAGTTTCTAGTGGTTGCCAAGGACTGGAGGTAGAGAGAAATGGAGAATGACTGTTAATAGACATGGACATTTTTGGAGGGAATGACAAAATGTTCTGGAATTACGTAGTGATGGTTGTAAAACCTTGTGAGCATACTCAAAACCACTGAATTGGGCACGTTAAAATTTTATGGAACGTATTATATTGCAAAACAAATTTGCAAAGATTACTGTTAAAATGCATAATCAGTTCAGTTCAGTCACTCAGTCATGTCCAACACTTTGCAACTCCATGGACTGCAGCACGCCAGGCCTCTCTGTCCATCACCAACTCCCAGAC